GGAAGCACTGTCTGACGCGTCTGCCTCCGCGACCCGAAAGGAGAAGCGGCGATGGAAGATGAAGATAAACAGCAACAATTCTTTACAGAACGATACCAATACTTTTTGTTATACGCAATCAATTCAGTTTCCACTTGTTGATTTACTTTCATAAGTCTTTGTATTTTGAGTCTCTGTATTTTTTTCAAAAATAAAAACATACTGACAATGGATCGCCTTCGCAGAACTTCATGGCTTAGGTTGAAATACTTCTTTCGAACAACATGTCACTGCATATCGGAAAATTTTGTGATTGAGAACACTGCCATTAAAAACAATTAAAATGTGGAATTCTTCAATCAGCTTAAAATTCACTGAAAAAACTGAAATTACGAAAATTCTGTTCATCACATAAATAAACTAAACGGAGTTAAGACGATTTAGCAAAAATTAAGATAAAAACGAAAATTTATAGCAGTTGAAATTTTATGCTGGACCCATTTCTTTCGATAAAGTTAATGAAGGGGCACTGATGTCCATTTCTATGCCTCGGCCAAGAGTGTCTTAATTTTTGAAGGCAGTATCTACAGCAATTATGTGGCAAGCATTGTGTGTCATCTGATTCATTCCCACAATGGTACTGACTGATTAAATTCGGAAAGAAGAATAGCAAGGACCCGACTGGGGTTCGAACCATGACTTCTGGGCCCCAAGTCTGACTCTCTACTGACTGAGTAGCCCTAGTCAGTGATGTCGAAAGGAGATTCGTTCTGCATAAAAGCAGGATCGCAGTTGTACGTTCTTTCGCCCGTTATTGACTGCATTTCTGCTCTTCATCAACTTTATTAACCATTTGTCTGTTTTTTGCAATTACTGTTCAATTTGTCGCATACTAAGTTATCTTGACTGTGAAACTTCTGCAACTGATTTACGTACGACATACAGAATTCTACATACAAATTTTACATTTCAAGCTGAAAATGGCTTTTATTCGTGATTTCGTTTAAATGAAATCTTCAGACTGCAATGTGAAGACGGACCGAGCTGCGTCCTACACGTCAGATGTCCCTAATTAAAGAACAATTTATGCGTTGTCCTCCCGTTTGTGACTTACCAAAGCATTACATCATCTCCTGCATAATGAAATACGTTATTCTATGTGAAAAATTTGCTTTACGCCTAAGCAGAATTCTTTGAATGCAATATAAGTTTTTTTAACGCACACCTGGTTCCATATAGACACTATTTTAAGGACAATCGCATCCC